GTATATTTGCAAACAAATAATTCTCGGAGTACGAGTTATCGATCCACAGGGAAGTGGTTGTATCAAGCACTAGTTACTAACTTATTCATTAGACTAATCCTAACAATTCCTTAGATGATTGATTGGCATAAAATAAAATAAAACAGAGGTTCAGGATTTTGAAAACAATAAGAGAGAAGATGAGATTCATGGGATTCAAGTATTTAATCACCTAGTGCCAATTAACGTTTGTAATATTTAATTTGGAATTAAGACTTGTATGGGAATGCAAAGTGGAACATAATTACTCTCGTAATTTCTACCCCTAGTGAATTAAATTTCCACTCCCGTGGCTTAAACACCTGATAAGATCGAAGATCAGCATTCAATTATTCCCAATTACTACCATCTCTCGATGCGCAACAATCTAGAATAAGATTCCCTAAATAAATTCCCATTTCCCAAGGTCCAACCATTATGTGCAATCGTGTGTGCCCTAATTTATGCCCCAACTCCCATTGGTGACACAAACATGGCTATGAAGCCAGTAACTATGGTCATTAATTACAAGTATCAAACAATATTATCACGATTGCAACACAAGTATTAAATCCAAATAATAATATATTAAAGAAACTGAGAGCTCAGGCACATAGGTTCATAAACACTTTTACCCAAGAATCTCTAAAGAATTTAGCCAAGCATGGCTAAATTATACCTAGCAAATATAAATAAAGAATTACAAATCATCAAAAGAGTACAAGAATTAACCAGACGATTTTCTCAAATCTTCCTAGTCTTCTTCTTGCTTTCCAAGACAACTTGTGGCTCTTGATTTCTCCCCTTCTTGTCTCCAAGAATCTCTGAATTCTAAACTATGAATTGTAAATTATTTATTCTAATTATTTACTCTAAACTAAACTACTTGTCTTCGTAGGGTTGAGGAAGGTGGCATTTTATAGTAGGTACAAAGCTGGGACAGAATTGGAATTTTCTATTTTAATTCGGAAATTGCCGTCTCAAAAATATTGCTGCTTCAATTTGAATTTGGAATGTTGCTGCCATTTCATTTTATTGGAACTTGCGCCATATATAATTATGGAATGCACCATTTCAATTTTAGAATGTCCCCTTTTATTTGGAAGATACATCGCTGCTTGCCTGCTTCATAAATTAGGAAATAATAAAGCCGCGCCTTAAGATTTCGTAATCCATTCAGCGTCTTTCTCGTCCGCAATATCTTTCTGGAAATTTTGGAGGCTCGACGCGTCGAGTGTACTGTGTAGGCGCCATTCTGTCCACTTTTGACTCCAATTTTGTCCTAGGACTTCCCTTGCTCATAACTTTGACCTACAATGGTTCAAAAACACTAACAAACACCGTATAACATTCAAAACGAGTATAAACCATAATTAAATAATAAAACAAGGGATTGTGCAATTAAAATACCAAAATCATGAATTCAAGCCTAATAAATATAATTAAATCAATACTATAGATAAGCACAAATGTGATAGCATCACTATCCCTCCTTAAATGTGTAGTGGTTATCACTATGCTATATCCCTTATTACATCGAGGGAGACATTTTCCTATATCATCCCAAGCTTGATTGTTACGTAAGTTATTGTTGAGTTTGTCTCATATATGGATTAGGAATATGGGTTTGTCTCATACTAGGAGTATGAGTGAAACGGGTAGACCCCGTGTACAGGGATTAGATGCCTATAAATATATTGGTTGTATCCCTAAGGGGTTGTGTCACCACTATCACCATCACTATGAATAAGAGTATTGTTTCACTCCCGTGGATGTAGGCACTTTGCCGAACTACGTAAATCTTGTCTTCTTTATCTTTTATGTCATTATTATTATTTCTTGTTCTTGTTAATCTCAACAAGCTGGTATCAGAGCATAGTTGAGATAGCTAGTTCAAGTACAAAATTCGAGGTATCAAAATTTGATGGTATAGGAAATTTTGGGTTATGGCGGTCTAGGGTAAATGATTTGTTGGCATATTAGGGCCTTCTGAAAACCTTGAGGGCGGAAAATCCAGCAAATCTGGAAGAGGCTGATCGGAAGGAGTTGAAGAAGCAGGAAGCTACGGACGTGGTATATGTTGATGACTCTTATTATAGTGAAGGTGATGTTCTAGCGGTAACTAGTAACAAGTTCGAACATTGTTTGGACTTGTTGGGCATTTCTAGATGCTAGATGAGAAGGTGGTGAGGGGCGTTGTGGTATTGGGCAGCGCGGATACCAGGAGGGGTCGCAGACCTGGTATGGGCCAGTATGACACTGGTATGGGTCGAGCTTGGCATGAGTTACGGCTGGTATGGGTTGGGCTTGTCATGAGATATGGACCTGGTATGGGCCGGGCTTGGCATGAGTCACGGCTGGTATGGGCGGACACTTCAGGACGAAGCAGTTCGTGAACATGCACGGGGAAACGTTTGATGTTGCGTGGTGCATGTTGCTGACCAGTGGCAATTGCTGGTTAGTGGAGCATTGGGCAAGGCACACGGGTTTAGTGTGACTTTGCAGGGGCGCTGTTGTGTTGGGGCAGCGTGGATACCAGGAGGGGACATGGACCTGGTATGAGCCGGATGCAGGAGGTCAGCTAAATGAGACAGTTAACATGAGTCGTGGCGGTATAACAGGTCGACGGCTGAGGGGCGAATGGCTTGGAACAAAGCAATTCATGTACATGCACTGGGTAACGTTTGATGCTGCGTATGCATGTGGCTGGCTAGTTGGGATGAGCATGGTTGTTCCTACCCATGTGTATATGTGAGATAAGTCTTTTTCTCCTAAGGGGCATAATTGTGAAGGTGGAGATGGTGAGATAAGTCTTTTCTCCTAAAGGACATATTTGCCAAGGTGGAGATTTGTTGAGTTATCTTTTTATCCTAAAGTGCATATTCGCCAAGGTGGAGATAATCTTTTCTCCTAAATGGCATATATGTGAAGGTGGAGATGGTGAGATAAGTCTTTTCTCCTAAAGAGCATATTCGTCAAGGTGGAGATTTGTTGAGTTATATTTTCTCCTAAAGAGCATATTCGCCAAGGTGGAGATTGTTGAGTTTGTCTCATATATGGATTAGGAATATGAGTTTGTCTCATACTAGGAGTAGGCCGGAGTGAAACGGGTAGACCCCGTGTACAGGGATTAGATGCCTATAAATATATTGGTTGTATCCCTAAGGGGTTGTGTCACCACTATCACCATCACTATGAATAAGAGTATTGTTTCACTCCCGTGGATGTAGGCACTTTGTCGAACCACGTAAATCTTGCCTTCTTTATCTTTTATGCCATTATTATTGTTTCTTGTTCTTGTTAATTTCAACAGTTATCCAAAACAATTAGATACCTCTTATCTGTCAAGAAGTTGCAAGCTGCATCATCGTCATTATGAATGTTTGCCTTCTTTAATTTGTTAGTGTCTAAAGAAGGTCATGTAGCGTTTGGGTCTTGTTGTATTCCCTGGATATAGTAACCCAACCTCGTACATGAAGTGGGATGTAACCTTTCAGCAACTCTGCTGCGCTTTCTGCTGCTTCTCCCAAAGTTTGTTTGTTTGTATGTAGAATTTATTGCAGTTATAAACTATATTATTCAAATGAGAATGTGTACTTTTTTTAAAAAGCAAAAATAACTTTTATTAATGGCGAATAACCCAGTGGGTAGCAAAACCCCTTAAATCATACACGAGAGCCAATTTGGCCTTGACTGGCAAAGCAATAAAAGAGCAAAAGACCGCGGGAGAGTTGGCGACAAGACCTTCCGCCGCAAGGGCATCGGCTACCTGGTTAGCTTTCCGATACACATGCCTTAACGCGGAGCCCCATAACGAGAGGTAGGAGCGAATGTAGAGAACCCCTTCTTTAATTTTCCGCGGGATCCTTGCCACCGGAGTGGAGGCCATACGAGCTAGATCAAGAGAATCTAATTCAATGTCGGAGGGCCGCAAAGCCATAGCATCACACCATTGAAGAGCTCTTGCAAAGCTAGAGCTTTGGCCTCAAGAGCTGAAGTGACTTCCAAACGAAAGTATAGCCCAGCTATTAACAGACCCCGAGAGTCCCTGAGGCAAGCCCAGCCTGCAGCGCCCATCTGATGAGAATATGGCGTTCGAATTGAGCTTTAGTATGCCAGTTGGTGGCGCTAACCACTTGACCTAGATCGTTGTCCTTCGTGGCGGAGCAGTAAATCTAGCTACCAAACATTCAGAGAGGAGGCAATTCCCAAACGCACCCGTACGGCTAGGAGGATTAGCGAGGGAGATGAGAAAGGATTCACGCTTGATTCTTTTAATAACACCGTACCCGAAGAGGAGAATGCAGGACCATTGTTGATGCAATCGTTGTACGTAACCCATAAGAACCAAAGCACTAAGCAAGGCATTCGCAGAACCTGGAGTGGAAAGGAGCCACCATGCATGGCAGGCAGCACGGATGGAATGAACATTGTTCAGATTCAGTCCAGAGATCCTGTTGAAATGAGTCCAGACATCTTGAATGGCGTTGCATTGAAGAAGGCAATGTTCTAGGCTTGCACTTGTGGCAACACAGAATGGGCAAAAGGATGGCATGAAGAAACCATCGCTTGATGACATCCGGGAAAGGTAGAAGTCTCCTCAGCAGCTTCCACATGAAAACAGAAATTTTAGATCGAATATTATTCCTCCCCCAAATACTGACTGATGATAAACTATGCCCCTCCCTCGGCCGTAGAGAGTCATATGTCGAGGAGAAGGTGAAATTTCCGTATGGAGATGGGGTCCAAACAATAGTTTCAGAGATGACAGAGATAGTTATCTTCAACAAAGGCCATACACTTTAAAAAGTTGTGCTTCTTTTATACAGAGATATGTACGTGAGTGTGCTTGTTTTATACTTTAAAAAGTTGGTAATACATAGAAAATTCTTTATGCCATACACTTTCCTCTCTTTGAACTAATTCTTGTATTTGTCAACATATTCTTTTGGTATATGAACATGGACAAAAGTTCTTTAAAGTAAAACAACATACATGTTATATGATAACCAATAATAATATATTAAATCCAACAACATAATGGCAGAACATGGACATATCAACCCTCCTAAGATAGCCAACAATCATATATCACACATCACACGAGGCACATAGGCTGCCATAAAGAAACTAAAGTTAGTACGGGACACATACTCCCATCAAAATTTGACACACAAGCCACCCAGTCACAAAATCTAAAGAATAAAAACATGGCACACAGGTTGAAAGTAAGAACATGACACGTATGCCCAAAAGAATATGGCACGCAGACCCAAAAGAACACAAGCCTCAACATAATTAACTAGCAACCAATCACAGCAACATGCACCCCACGGGATTAGCTACTATTGGCCAGCAACAAGCCTTGTCAGACCAACGGATTTGATGAATTTCTACCCAAATCACCGTTGTCAAGGTGAAACTTCTTACCGCAAACACCAACGTTGAGGCATGACTTGTTCAAAGAAAAGTCCAGCACCGACGTTGAAGCATGACCTGTTCAAAGAAAGCCCACAAGGGCCAGACCAAGAAAGCGCCCAAGCCAAACATACCTCAGAAAGCCAAAAGAAATTGAAAGAAGCATACAAAGAAGAAAAAACATGCACACCTCAAATAAATAAAAACTAAACTAATAATCAGAAGGTAAAGAATGAAAGAATAAATGAATGAAAGTAGAAAAATACACAAAAGAAAGGCAGGCACCCTTGTATTTTCTACCCCACTTGGAAACCACATAAATAATACTATTAAACAAAAAATAAATTTAAAATTAATCACAAAATCTTAAAGACAATAAGTCTAAAGAAAAGAGTTGGTTTGACTAATTAATACTCCCTCCATCCCATTTTGTTTGTTTGGTTCGGATAACAAGGATTGACTGAAGTTATTTTTAATTTCATTTTTCATAATATTAAGTTTAGTATGAGTATATTAAATTTATATATTTAAAAACTATATTAAAGTACTATTAAACACAAAAAATTAAATTTAGAAAATAATTAAAAATTACTAAAGAAAATAAGAAATGAAGAAACAGTTGGTTTAATCAATGAATATAATGATAAACATGGTAAGAAAAATGTAAGAGATGGAGTGGTAAATATAGGACATATAAGTGAGAGATATGGTATTATTTTTAGAAACAATGTTAAACAAGCCTCCTAAGTTGAGCTTTTTATGCTTTTTCATGTACTTGTAATAGGAGTCTTAAACGGTCCAGGTCATCTCTGTGTAGTCCCCTAGGATTCAAGCTACATACGGACTTGAAGTGTGTTAAAAAGAAAATGCTACGAAAGACAGAGGGATTGAACATACCATAAAATTCAAGATTTCGATATATTGATAATCAAAAGCTATAATCTTCGATCTTCATTCATACAAATTAAAATTTGTTTAAATAGAAGATTACATACAGAAAACAGGCCAGGGGACTACAAAGTAATAAAAACATATATGCAATGAGAAAGGACAGATAACATGCATAAAGATGGAGGGTGCAAGTATTAATTGAGAATATATATTATATATAGTTGGCAACCAAATTTTGTCATTCAATTCTAGCATCAATACCTTAGCTTAGCTTGTCATTCATTATCTGAAGGTCTAGACTCTTCTCCAATGATTTTGAGCTATATGAAAAAGAGAATGCAAAATGAGATGAGATCGATCAGAGGGAGAAGATTGCAATATAATAGATTTTGTAAAGAAAATTATTAGCATTATATTGAATAGAAAAATAAATGCATATAACTAATATAAGAATGAAATGAGATGAGAATTGAAGGAAGGAGAAATAGCAGCAGAAAGATGATAAGATTTTGTAAGCATTGAATAGAAAAATAAATGGAAATGTAAGAATGAATCATGTTGTACTGTACTGTACTGTACTAGCTAGCTTCTCACCTCAAAAAATTCGGATCCACACTCATTGCGTTGATATTCTTGAATACACTTTGCAGAAGTGATAACTGACGGACCACACCGCTGCAACTCAATTGACTTCAAGGTCAACATATTTTCCATATCCTCAGGGATATTCTTCAAACAATAACAACGTCTTAAGACTAAGTGCTCAAGACATGAGAAGGAGTCATAACCAAAGTTCGTCCATTGCTCAAGCATTTTACTTTCAAGAAGCAAGAATTTTAATTCACAAAATCCTTCTTCTACTTTCCACACTTTTCCATGAAAGGCATTTTCCAATTTGAGAACCTCAAGCTGAGGCAACATTTCAATTGCCTTTAAATCCCTCTCTGAAAGGTTAGTACCGTTCAACCTCAACTTCTTTAGTTGTGAAGGAAACATAAATGGCTCTGGAAGGATTACAACGCAACCAAACGAAACTGAGATTGATAGTCTCTCAAGACGTTCCAAACATTCAAGATTATCCAAAATAATAGGATTATTACTGCTAAATACAAAAACTTTTAATTTTTCAATGTTTGGAAACCTGCAATATACTCCTGCTCTACAATGAGGTGAACACACCCAAGATAATGTCCGCATATTATCTTTATCCATGCTTGGAGGATCAATCACATAAGATTTGTCAAATTCAAGATGTTGTAATTGTGGTGAATTCCAAATTGTTGAAGGCAAATGGATAGTAGGTGTTCCAACTTGGGATTCTTTATTAGAAACAATAAGTGTTTGCAAGTTTTGATTGGTTGACACTACATAATCAAGACCCTCAAACCATTCTGTAACATATAGGTATCTCAAAAAAACTAAATCCTGTAAGCGTGCTGGCATTCTTTGAAGAAATGAAGATGGAACAAAAGCCAAAACTCTTAGCAACTTGAAAGATACATATATTTCATCAGCATTATCTTTTTGAAAGAAGAAAATGGAGCGAGGGTTGTTTGTTCTTAACAACACATAATAGTCAAATTTATGTGTGTATAAGCTTAACCAGCGGCATGAATTTTCAAACATGCCAAATGACCCTCGTGGAAGTTGCAGAGTATTTAACGCGCAAAAAATGCCATCTTTCTGAGCTTCTCTTACGCAAAAGCTATGTAAGGCACTATGCATCCTACAACTCTTAATTTTTCCAGAAGAACTCGGAGTGTCGATTAAAATAAGACTTCTATCAATAAGCTCTTGTAAATACTCATAAGCCTGATTTTCTAACCCCTTGTGCTCCAATGGCTTCACAAATCCCTCGACAGTCCATAATCTAATAAGTTGTTTGACTTTGATTGCACTGCGTTTTGGGAAGACTCCAAAATATAGAAAACAGACTTTTAAGTGCTGTGGCAATTGATTGTAAGTGTGGGTTAGTGCCCTCCTATCTAGAACTCCAAGTAACTCTATTTCCTTTTGCACCTTCTTCCATTCTTGTCTTATGTTGTCACACTTAGATAACCGTTTTGCAACTACAAGAATTGAGTATGGCAATCCTTCGCATATCTCTACAACTTGACTCCTAATTTCTTGAAATTTAGGTGGTGCCATATGTTTTTTCAGTTTCAGAAAAGGGTTATTACAAAATAAAGCCCAACTTTCTTCTGAATTTAGCAAAGTCATGTGATGAATATTGCTATTTGAGTAAGTATAATCATTACCCATCCTTAAAAGATGCGTAGTGGTTATCACTATGCGACTTCCTTTTCTATCATCAGGTAAACAATGCCGGATATCATACCAAGCTTGATTGTTCCGTAAGTTATCCAAAACAATTAGATATCTCTTACCTTTCAAGCATTTGTATACCTGCTCAGCTGCTAGATCATCATCATCAGGAATGATTCCCTTTTCAATTTCATCATCTACCTCTGGTAGTAGTGTCCAAAGAAGGGTGTGTAGCAGTTGTCTCACGTTATTGTATTCCCCAGGCATAGAAACCCATCTTCGTACATCGAAACGCGAAGCAACATCTGGATCTTGATAGACACTACTAATTAAAGTTGTTTTCCCAATGCCGGCCATTCCAACAATTGAGACCACTTTTCGGTTCATAGAGCCCCAGAAGAGTTCGTGCATTATCAGCTCACGATCACGGCGACGACCGACCATAACATTGCTCTTCTCCGAAGCCGAATCATGTTTTAACCAAGGAATCAGTGCTCCTTCACTTTCATTCACCACTTGTTCGTCATCGATTTCCTTGCTTTTTTCCAGCAACTCCGATGCGTTTTCTGCTTCTTCTCGCAAGGTTCGATGGAGTTGCTGTGCAGCTTCTCGTTGATCCTCTCCGTTGTTGGCCAGAAGAAAGTTGCTGAGTTGTATTTCGATGCGGTCTTCGGCATCCAGTGCAAAGTCTCTCATCTGTATCTCCAGATTTCTGATTGCAGTGCCACCCCGTGCCCCGGATTTCTCCTGCACAAAACCTTGCAAAGATGAAACCTTTTCATACAAAGATTCCATTGATATAAACCCTCCATCATCAAGAGGAACCCTGCTTGGATTTGGTTGCAGAAACTCTAGCTCAATTGTTGCCATCAGAGAAGTCAAAGCAACACAAGCCATCTCGATAGTTCTCTCTTTCAATTCAAAGTATTCAGATAACAAGTTTCTCTCTCTCTCTCTCTCAAATTATTGAGATCTACTTGTTTAGTTTTCTCAATGAATGAGTATTGAGTGGGTGAGGCCACAACTCTCCAAACATTGCATATAAAAGAAGATGAAGGTGGTCTGATCTTCTTGTTAAAAAATTGTTTTAATTTCTCTCTCATCTGTAAAACTTTGTCTCCACCGGCCAATGCTGCAAATTGATGTATTATTAATATATAAATAATAAATAATGATGCCAACAACTTTTAAATTAACAAATATATATAATCACTGTCCAGGGCACCAATATGAATGTCCATGCCACCACCTTGCATAATTTAAGTAATCACCATTGCTCACATGACAGTTTAGTTGGTCATAGAGAAGAAGTTTGTGAACAATGACTCGTGATCGAGTCTCACCAACAATAATGTGGGCTCCTTATACGCAGTAAGCAAAGATCTAGCCCTCTATGTTTAGCTGAGTTACCATGATTTACATCCTCCTAGATGCTCTGTCGCGTCGGGGCGTGGAGGACCCTTAGGGTTGGAGACTCAACCTTTGGGAAACTCTGTACAAGATTAGTGCTATGAAATGAAGTATTACATTTAGATTATAAAGTATTGTGTTTAAGGCTTAAAGTATTAAATATATCTTCCTTAGCTTAAAGGGTGTACTATATTAGTGATACGAAATATTACATTTATATATCTTATAAAGTATTGTGTTTAACGCTTAAATATTGATTATATCTATCTTAAACTATGTATTAGATTTGTGTTATGAAATATTACATTTTGGCTATAAAGTATTGTGTTTAAGGAAGTATTAAACATATTTACCTTAAACTGTGTTTTATATTTGTGCTATGAAGTATTACATTTATACTATAAAGTATTATATATGGAGCTTAAAGTATTGATTATATATTTGTGCTATGAAATATTACATTTATACTATATATAAAGTATTATATTTTTTTGAGAACGAAGGATTAATTTATTAGATCATCATAAAGAGATCAGAGTTTCCTACAAAACAAATTTCAACTTTCTTTTGGATCTAGCAATGTCATATTATGGACATGATGATCATATGGCAAAGTCATGTTATGGACATGATGATCATATGAGCAAGAGTAGGAACCCTGATCAAAGTGCGTAGTGGTTAGCACTATACTATTAGTGTCTTTTGTTAACACTAATGGTGTATTCGGTCAAGCGACTGATATAAATGACCACTATAATTATCATAATACACCCACTTACCAAGACGCGCTTAAATCTTCAAATCTTCATAAATTAGCCGTTGCCGTTAGATTAAGTAGAATGGACGATGCTGATATGGCCGCACCGTCGCACCTAAAGAACCTGCTGTATTTGAACTTATATATATATATATATATATATATATATATATATATATATATATATATATATATATATATATATATATATAGGCTTTGGTTCCCATGAGGTCTCTATTTAAAATGAGGTCATGAGGTCTCATCACAACCATTAAGTTATTAGAATTTGATGGATGTGATTGAAAGATATGTATTAGATAATAAAGGTTAGATTTTAAACATAAGGATAAAAGAGTAATTGTAATAGTGTTGTTAATTATGGATAAAATAAATTAGTACTATTTACTTATTTAGCATAATATTAGATGGAATAAGAATGGTAATACATAGAATGTATATATGTTAGGGATACGAACGAGAACACAACACCGGAGAGAACAAGAGAAGAAGAAAAGTTGAACTCTTGTGAATGGAGAGTAAAAACACTGGTATGTGGTATTGGACTGGTTTGTAATTTGTTTTTTGACAATTGGTTGGTGCATTAGATAGGTACGGCTTGTGCAACTGCATTTCTTGTACGTGTGCGTGTTGGCCATAATTTTGGTTGGAATCTGTTTGTGTATGAGTCGTAATCTTGTAGTAGCAGCTGTACGGAAATTGAGCTGTGTAGTATTGGGGGGTCTGTGCGTTTGGAATTGTGGTATGTGCGTCTTCTTGTAATGGTGTGTGCGTGTTACTGTTGTGGCGTGTGCGTTTTGGTGAATTGGAGGTTTATATTGATTTTTCTGTAATTTGAGATCCATGGATCTAAAGTATTATTAGGGGTATGGTTGAATGCGTGTTGTTTGCCCGGATATGGAAGAAGTTAACTGAATGGGTAGAAGTGGTTTGTTATTTTTGGGGCGTCACGGAAGTATTATTGGGGGGTCTGTGCGTTTGGAAATGTAGTATGTGCGTCTTCTTGTAATGGTATGTGCGTGTTACTGTTGTGGCGTGTGCGTTTGGAATTGTGGTCTGTGCGTGTGCTTGTAATGTTGTGTGTTTGTTACTGTTGTGGCGTGTGCGTTTTGGTGAATTGGAGGTGTAAAATGTTTTTCATGTAATTCGAGATCCAAAGAGCTAAGGTATTACTGGGGGAATAACAAAGTTTCAACCAATTAAATAAACAAAAAATTAAACTACAGAAAAAATAAATAATAAATATATTCGGAACACTTGAAGATGGGATTAAGTTCTATAAGAACTATGCTGCAGTTTCTGAATTCCCCTAGCCCAATTTGATTCACGGCTTTCCGTTGAAACGCATTAAATCGCTTCAGCTCTGCAACTAAATGCTTCGGAGATGCACGAGTTTTCATATCTGGGAAGTTACCTACATCATTACCCCCGGAACCAGCTTGTGCACCCCCCAAAAGGCGGATCTCCTTGAGCAGGAGTAGACACCGTAACGGAGGGGCTGGTGGATCTACTTGAGTATTAGGCGAGTCTGCACCAGGTGAGGGTACAAAGACCTCAGAATTGATCCCTAAAAAAAGCAAACACCAAAACAAGATGCCTATTTTGGTCAAAAAAATAGAGGAGAAAACTGAATTAAAACCACAAGGAAGGTAATACTATACGCACACGCTATAACACTACACTACACACGCTAAATTAGAAACAAAAAACCAAGATGACTAATGCGCAGACCACATATTGCCTATTCTACCAACAATAACATTTAAAAACATAACCAACAAAAAACGGGAAATAACATTTTACATACAAACAAAGATAAATAAACGAAAGCACCATATCACAGCAGGACACACCACACTGAGAATTTCGTTATAAACAAACAAGACAAACAAACATGAAGTATGTAACTGGCAGAATGGACCTAAAATAATATTGTTGAAAAAAAACTACACCAATGAAAGAGGTCAAACGGATTTAAAGAAAAAAAAAAACTAACGAAAAGAACTAATATTTACTTACAACAATGATGCAAATTAAAAAATACCGCACAGTAATTCACACACACCCAACCAATGTAATGTACATAGCACTAGAAGATTACATGTTATAATAAACCATAAAAAACTACATTCAGAATTTTGATGGCAAATTACATCCAAATTAAACTACTACCACACATAACAAAATACAAAATGACATTATCTAAACAAAAGATTACCAATTTAGAGCTCTACACACAGACTCAACACCTATAGCATAATCTTCAGTTTCATATCAGTAGGAATAACAAAGTTTCAACCAATTAAATAAACAAAAAATTAAACTACAGAAAAAATAAATAATAAATATATATTACAAAAGTTTGTCCACAATGTAAATAAATCATGAAGATTGCACATGCTGGACTAATATAACGCACACACCACTACCCACTATTACATTAGCATATCAGACCACCCTCCCCCCCCCCCTGAAACCCCCCTGGCACCAACACCCCGAAACTCTACCAGGTACAGTAGCATATGACTAAGATGTCTGTGCGTTTCTGGTTAATAGATACAAACTAACACCAAAGAAAAAAAAAACGCAACAAACAAAACCGTATCATCCACCCCACCCCCCGCCGCCAGTCCGAAAGATGGTATGCCAGCATCACCACCACACCGCCCCACCACAAACTCCCCGGCAGTCCGCAACAGTCAACCAACCACCCCCCGGCAGATTGAAACACCCACCCGTGTACACCAAACGCTACCCACCCAAAACAAAACAAATCAAAAACAAAAAAAACTATGAGCCAGAACCCTACCCACTAAATCACCCATCACCCCCCAGACCCTACCCACCCAACAAAAAACGCTGAACCACGACCATGCAAACACATCGCCAGTGCCCCCACCGGAAAAAATCGGAATTCAAAAACGGGGAGCCCAAAAAAAATCCTAAGAGCAGGCAAAATTAGTCGCATCCCCCCCCCCCCCTCCCCAACCAAACTGGGCGAACCCAAAAAAACAACCTAGAAGCAGGTAAAACCCGCCGCACCCCCCTCCCCCCAAACGCAAAAACGCATACGTCGGAAAACGCAAAAACAAACAAAATTAAACACCAACAACAAAAAATCGAAGCAATCGAAGCAAAAAAAAATAGGAAATTCGAAATACTTGAACGGGAACCAGACGAAGCAGCTCTCCGTTGCTTCGAACGAGTGTTGGTAGAACCAGCCATTAGACGGCACCGAAGACGCCTTCCCAACCGATTTCTAGCGATAGCGGACGGCGAACGCAGTGACGGAGAAGAAAATAGCCGGACGAGAAGCAGCGAAAGATCTCTACCGTGACTAGCGGAGAAGAAACGAAGAGACACCGAATCGGTGCATCAATATAAAAACGGCAACACAATAATGACTCATGACTAATTACATTAATACCCCCAAAGTAAACGAATCATCTCATTATAAGCTTGATCTTGCCTCTAATCACATCCGCACAAAACCAAAAATCAACGCCCAGGATCGACCCTCACCGGACCTCATTTTAATTAGGTACCTCACCTGATCCAAAATCTATATATATATATATATATATATATATATATATATATATATATATATATATATATAATAGAAGAAAGTTCAAATACGACAAGGTCTTCCCGTACGACGGTACGGCAGAATTTCAGAATACACCAACAGTGTTATCAACATGTACCAACAGTGTAAGGGAAACACACCACAATGAAATGCAAAAAACCATCATAGAATACACAACAGATCTAAAAAATACACCATATAACTCACAACACCTCAATGGTGTATTTTCGAACATTGTATGGTGTTTATACTCACACATAATGATGTGTTTTTGGTGATGCTTACCTAATTTGTATGTATTTTCGTAACGTTGATGGTGTATATATCTGTTGAACTATTGGTTACGCCGCACCGTCGCACTTAAGGACACCGCCGCACCTGAACTCGCCTATACATATACATATACTAGTTTTTTACGCGCATTGCGCGATTGGGATAATGCCCAATGTTTTTTTTTTTTTTAAATAAGTACATTAAAGTATATCAAGTCAAGATTATATTGCAATTGTTCATGCATAATTAAATGTTGAACAATTATATTTTTTTATTTTTTAAAAACAATTATTATTTTTTATTATTATTATTATTATTATTATTATTATTATTATTATTATTATTATTATTATTATTATTATACCCTAGGTCATTTTACATGTTAATCTAAATAACTAATTTTTTCAAATATCTTTTTACCAACCGTTGATATAATTCGCTGGTCAAATTCGTTAATATAATCCGCTAACGCTAATCGTTAACTGCTGATTGTCAAACAATGACATTACAAGGTAGTTCACACTTCAATTTGTTGTATGATTTGAATACTCTCTTTGACAAAGAGAGTATGCAAGATAGTTAATATTATCACATGTTGATTAAATGAGATAAATCCCAATTTTTTTTTAAATAAGTACTTTAAAGTAAATATCAATGCAAGATTATATTGGAATTGTTCCTGCATAGATAATTGAATGTTGAATTTGCATATTTAAATAGGTAAATTCTAAGTTTACAAATGCAAGATAATATAGTCAAGATTGATTATAATTTTCAATAAAATAATTGTATAGGTATGGTTGAAACCAAATACGGGACATAAGGGAGAGCAAATAAAAATTAGAGCATAAAATATTAAATATATACTAATATTGAAGAGCTAACTGTTGATTGCCAAACAAGGACATTGCAAAGTAGTTTTCCACTTCAATTTGTTGTGTGATTTGAATACTCTTTTTATCACTAAATCCCCAAGTAGTTAATATGATTGGCTTAATTATATTTTTTTATTTTTTATTTTTTAAAAACAATTATTATTATTATTATTATTATTATTATTATTATTATTATTATTTTTATTAAATATATGTATATCATTAGGTCATTTTACATGTTAATCTAAACAACTAATTTTTTCAAATATCTTTTTACCAACCGTTGATATAATTCGTTGGTCAAATCCGCTAACGCTAACCGCTAACTGCTGGTTGTCGAACAAGGACATTGCGAGATAGTTCTCACTTCAATTTGTTGTGTGATTTGAATACTCTCTTTGTCAACAAATCTCCCAAGTAGTTAATATGATTGACTTTATTAACTATATTTTTTTAATTTTTTCATGATATTAATAAAATACTTGGAAAATAAATATATAGCATTATTTTGTATTATAACTTTGATATTTAATTTAAAAAAAATAGTGCACAAAAAAGATAATAGACAATGTAGTGAATATAATCAATTGATGAATTTGAATGTAAGGAATTTTTACATTGGAGAAAAATAAAGACAATATAACTAATAAAATTATTTATGTTAATTAATTTATTGATAATGAATAATTTTTTTTTAATAAAAACATTGTAGGGACAATGCAGCGAATATAATCAATTGATGAATTTGAATGTAAAGAATTTTTATATTGGAGAAAAATAAAGACAATATAACTAATGAAATTATTTCTCTTATTTAATTTATTGATAATGAATTTTTTTTTTGAATAAAGACATTGTAGACACATAATTCTAAATTAAAGAAATGCATATGTATTATTTTTTGTTGTAGCTACTAAATTATTATTTTATTTAATAAAAATAAAATAGAGTACTAATTATGCCAACTTTGATTGGGATGAGGTTCGAACTTAAGACCTTTCTTATTGAAATCAATGAGTAAGTTAACGGTGAACTAACAGATATTAACGGAAAAGATAATATTTAACGGAAAAGTTAACGGATAATCATATTCATTAAGGATAAATTAGGAAATTCATAAGAAAAAATTAAAATCTGATCAATCTGAGCCATTCATTTGATTAAAATCTGTGACCGCCATTTTTTCTACCCATTATAGGCCTAACTCTCTTGGGCTCTTATTAGTATAGTAGATATGTATATGTATATGTATATATATATATATATATATATATATATATATATGTATATATATAGTGTGCCTAGGTGCGGTTGTGTGGTTTAATGTGGGTCATTCATCTCGCTTAAATCAACGTCCAGGATTACCAAAATTTAAAAAAAAAAAAAAAAAAACGCGGTGGCAATTTTGTAATTTTTACATCTAGGTCAAAATTAAGATGAGCGGTTCTGTGATTAATGTGCGTGAGTTTTGTATATAAGATGTGTAAGTCTTGTGCGTAAGGTACGTGAGTTTTGTGCTTAATGTGCGTGTGGTTGTGCTTAATGTGAGCAGTTGTTAAAACTTAAAGTGTAGGCTTTTGTGCTTAAGGTGCGTGAGATTTGTTCTTAATGTGAGTGGAGTTTGTGCTTAATGTGCGTAGGGTTTGTGCTTAATGTGTGTGAGGTTAGTGATTAATGTCAGTAGTTGTTGAAACTTAAGGTCTGTGAGTTAATACTTAAAGTGCGTGGGTTTTGTGTTTAATGTGCGTGAGGTTGTGCTTAATGTGCGTGGGTTTTGTACTTAATGTGCGTGAGTTTGTGCTTAATGTCAGTAGTTGTTGAAACTTAAGGTCTGTGAGTTAATACTTAAAGTGCGTGAGTTTTGTGCTTAATGTGCATGAGGTTGTGCTTAATGTGCGTGAGTTTTGTACTTAATGTGCGTGAGTTTGTGTTTAAAATCTAATACTTAAGGTGCGTGTTTCTATCACTTAAGGTGCGCCATTTTTAGCTTATGCTTCTTTCTTCCAGACACGCATTTTTTTTCATTGATTTGAGCCGTTGATCTAGATTTGATCAACGGCTCAGATCTAACCGCACAACCGCACAGGAAGCTATACCCGCACCAACCCTTTCATATATATATATATATATATATATATATATATATATATATATATATATATATCTAGAAGTCACATAAAACTAATTCCGTAGCATTAGCCTAGTTGATTAGATTGATTACCTTGAAATTTTACTTTTGTAATAATATAAGGTCATTGGTATATGAGGTGATGAGGTCTGTACCCCTTGTGGACAGAGTGTAAAGATAAGAGATGGAAATCTAGATACTAACGAGAAGATTAGAGATTTACTTCATCTAGTGATCAAAATTTGTTGGGCCTAATTTTTTGCGGGCTTTTGTGAGTTGGCCCACCAAACCCGTAAGCTAGGGTTTATGCAACCAAAGTCCGCCTTATGCGGATTGGCGGGCCCCGCGGGCCGGTCCGCGAGCTTTTTTGTTTTTTTGTTTTTTTTTTTTATGAAAGCTTAAGTGTATATCATCACCTAACAAAGGCAGGTTAGCCATACAAAGTTTCTTGGCCCAAAAGTGACCAAGTATCGTAATGCAAGGGGCATGCTGCCCTACAGGACTTGGCCCCAAAGTGGCCAAAATTTGAACGATCATTAAAGAAATTAAGTTGCCTTACAAAACAGCTTTTTTTTTTTTTTTTTTTTTTTGTTTTTTTTTTTTGTTTTTGTTTTTTTTTTTTAATTCAAAGTTCAAAAAGATAAGAAAAGTCTTTAAATAATATTAATTTTTTCATATTTATTTTTTTTAAAAAAGTTGTATTTTTAAAAATGTTAATATATTACTGTGTAGTATATATATATATATATATATATATATATATATATATATATATATATATATATATATATATATATATAAAGGGTTCAGGTGCAGGTATAGCTTCCCGTGTGGTTGTGCGGTTGATTAATGTGCGTAAGTTTTGTACTTAATTAGTGTGCGTGAGTATTGTGGTTAAGGTGCGTGAGGTTTGTGCTTAATGTGCGTGAGTTTTAATACAAACTCACGCACCTTAAGCTCAAAAGTTACTCATCTTAAGCACAACTCTCACGCACCTTAAGCACAAAATTCACGCATCTTAAGCACTGGAACCTTTCACTATACATATATATATATATATATATATATATATATATATATATATATATATATATACTTATTCACAACCTACATGCGTAAGTGTGAACGAAGAATTTTTCGCACTTTTGGTCCCACGAGTATTGTGGCACTAACAGGATTGTTCCACGGCTTTCGATACTTGCAAACTTAGTCCACGACTATCATTTTTTTTTTTAGCACAAATGGTCTTTCCGGCTCAATTTCCGTCCATTTGTGACCAAATTCTTTTTTTCCCCTTTATAGCAAGTTTGAGCCGTGAACGAAAGTTTATAAAATTCGCCTGGATTATACTGGGAACCCACAGCCTTCACAAGAACATGAGCTATAAAATTTGCCTTCGCAAAACATGTTTAACAACCACATTCCCAGTAGTAGTAATGATACCTAGACAATTGTTCAGAATGATACCAAAATAAGAAAGATCAGAGGCTGCAGTATGAATATTATGACAAAGATTTAAACAGAATGTTTAATTTAATTTGGACCATACTAAAGAAGGAGTCATTAAGGCAGTGACCTAAGAGTTAAGACAACCTCAAATGGGGGACCACAACTTATGAAGAAAAGGATTGAAAGTGTTACATATAATAGAATCCTGTATAAGAATTTATGTTAGAGGGAGTCTTAGGATATCATGTTATTTAGTTAGCGAAAGGATTTATTTTCCAGCTGCAATCACGCTTGACATTAAAGTTTGAATATAATAGTAAAATATTGAGTTAATCCTTAATATAGTCATCGACTATAGTGATTTTATTCAATTTAGTCCTAAATGACTTTTTGTACTCAATTTAGTCATTGATTTTAATGGTTTTACACAATCTAGTCATTTTTTAAAAGAGTTAATTACCGATTTGGTCCCTCGACTATGAGGATTTTACCATTTTAGTCATCGACTTTTAAAATTGACCAATTGCATCCTCAACTATGTTATTTCTGACCAAATTGGTCCTCAATTGAAAGTATTTGAAACTGCCGTTTGTGAGGTGTTAAAATGGAGGATAAAAATATAATTTCATTCTCTAAACCATCTTGGGTTTGAGTGTGTATTTCCTTCTCATTTCGACCAGAGGTGGCTGGGTTCTGTTCGCCGTTAACTTCACCATTTATTTCAAAACACGGCTGGGAACTCCGATGGCCGTAAGGATTGTGTCGGTGGTTTGGTGGCGGTGTTGAGATGGGATGTGAACTGGAGCATTTTCCGATGGATACATTCTACCGTCGTGGATCCCTGCCCCGTTGACTGGCGTATTTTTCCAGTTAAATGACGGCTTTAGGTGGTTGGTGGGTGCGATGTCTGTACGTCGAAAGCTATCGCCGGAACCTCATTGATGTTCCGGTGTTCAGATCTGTCGTCGGGCAGTTGCTACGGCTGATTTTTCCAGTCAGATCTGTTGCGATTTGATTATTTTGGATTGGAAATTGAAGGATTGTTTACCTGATAGATTTGGTCGGTGGATGAGTTGCAGCTTTGATGAATATTAACTTTCATTAGGAATATGAGATCAACACAAGAAAACATAGTAAAGAGATTTCCCAGAGTTGAAAGGCCAATAATTTAGGGTTTAAGCAAAGGGAATTATCACTCTTGAAATCCATTTGTTCCTTAGTGGCGGTGCTGCCTTGCGAGAGAGATGCCGGAAAGCAGTTGTATGTGGAGTTATAAACAAAAGTGGAATTATTAGAGAGAAGGCAGAGTTCTAGGTTGAACTCAGAAACAATGTTTGGGTTGAACTCAGAAACAAGGTTTGTATGTGGATAACTGGGCATTGCTTTATTTTTGAGATTTTCTTGGGTGATTTTTATGGATTTGGGATATTCTAATACTCTCCTTTTTGGGTTCTAAATTTGTGTGTTTCTAGATCTGTACGAACTCAGAATTTCCAGAAGCAGTTTTAGTGGAAGACAATGTTGCCTAAAGAAGCAATTGTCCCAAACTTCAATGAAGCAGAGCAAGAAGGAGGCACTTTGCTAGGGAGTGCTCACAGAGCGGAGGTGGAGGTGGTGGTCACCGCTACGGCGGCAGAGGCGGAGGAGGTTTTCCGCGAGGTCCAATGATCGGGAACTAGTCGTCTATGAGCTCACCGGACTTCATCTTCTTCGCAGGCACGGCGGCGGGGAAGATGAAATGCAAATCTTCGTATCCAAATCAACTTCAACCCTAAATAAATAAATACAGAGTAAATAAATCTTTGGGTACAAAGATTTACATTTCTACGTGAATCTTAATAAGGGGAAGAAGAAGGAATCATTCCAAATGGGATGAAGGATGAGAAATTACTATTAGGATCCTATTTATAACACTCAATTAACAGAATTTTTAACAAAGGATTAAATTGTGCAAAACAATCAAAGTCAAGGACTAAATTGAGTACAAAAAGTTATTTAGGTACATAATTTGTGTTCATAGACACAAAATTTCACAACACAATACACAAAATTTAATAACATAAGACACAATTACTAATTTATTTTAGATACTGAATTTATATTCTTAAGATACATAATTTAATAACACAAGATAAAAAAAAACTCACAACATAAGACACTAACATGCTCAAAGATTTTAATATAGCATTTAATCACACTTATATCACTGAATTACAAAACTTTTAACAAATATTGAAAATATTTTCACACCCAAAAAGTGTAATATCCACATACATAATGCAAAAAAAATATTTAATCACAACTCAAAAGTACCATTACAACTTGAGACATACAGTTGCTACACAATTATCTAAACTACGAGATTCGACTTGAGATTGATAGAGACGACTCTCCTATGTGATCCTTTTACATACAAAAGTCATCATCATTTGATCTTCAGTTCATCTTTGAATTTGATTATTGGACTTGAGATATTCTTCCTAGATATCCTTTTACATACAAAACATATAACGAGAGAAAATCAAATAATATCATATATAACTAAAAATAAATATAATCAAAAGCTATATATCCTCTTCTTCATACAAAATTTGTTTAAATACAAGATTACATACATCCATATATACCTTAGCTTGCCATTCAACATCTGAAGGTATGATAGAGACTCTTCTATGTGTGTATTGTGATTCATCTGATTTCGAGCTATATAAAAAAAGAGAATGCAAAATGAAAAAAAAAAAAAAGTGAAATGAGAATTGAAGGAGAAAATTGCAATAGATTTTGTAAAGAAAAATAGCATTATTATATTGATGAATAGAAAAATAAATAGCTTCTAACCTTAAAAGTTCCTTCTCTAGTTTCCCTTTTAAATCGTTGGATATCCTTTGCAGAAGTAACAACGGAAGGACAACACTGCTGCAACTCAATAGACTTCAACGAATGACGTCTCATATAAGGAATTTTTTCCAAACAATAACAAAATCTTAGGACTAAGCGCTTAAGATAACAAAATGAATAATACGCATCAGCTCTCCATTGCTTGAGCGTTTTATCTTCAAGAAGCAAGAAGTCTAAACTATAAAATCCTCCTTTTTCTACTTCCCATACTTTCCCATGAAAGACATTTTTCAATTTGAGAACTTCAAACTTAGGTAACGTGCCAATTACCTTTAAATCCCTCTCCGACAGGTTAATACCATTCAAGCTCAACTTCTGTAGTTGTGAAGGAAACACAGATGGTTTTGGAAGGGTTACAACATGGCTTAACGAAACTGACATTGTTAGCCTCTCAAGTCTCTCCAAACATTCAACATTATCCAAAATAATTGGATTGCTGCCAGAAACAAAGATTTTCAAATTTTTAATGTTTGGAAACCTGCAATAGACTCCTGTTTTGCAATGAGTTGGACACACCCAAGATAATGTTTGCATATTATCTTTATCCATGCTTGGAGGATCAATCACATAAGATTTGTCAAGTTCAATATGTTGTAACTGGGGTGACTCCCAAATTGTACAAGGCAAATGGAGAGGCGGAGGGGCTCCAAGTTTGGATTCATTACCAGAAACAACAAGTGTCTGCAAATTTCGATTGGTTGACACTACATACTCAAGACCCTCAAACCATTCAGATACAGATAGGTATCTCAAAAAAACTAAATCCTGTAAGCGTGTTGGCACTCTTTGAAGAAATGAAGATGGAACAAAAGCCAAAACTCTAAGCAACTTGAAAGATACAAATATTTCTGCATCTTCTTGAAAGAAGAAAATGGAACGAGGGTTGTTTGTTTTTAACAACACATAATAGTCAAATTTATGTGTGTATAAACTTAACCAGCGGCATGAATTTGCAAACATGCTAAATGACCCTCGTGGAAGTTGCCGAGTATTTAAAGCACATAAAATGCCCTCTTTCTGAGCTGCTCTTACGCAAAAGCTATGGAAAGCACTATGCATCCTACAACTCTTAATTTTTCCACCAAAACTCCAATTGTCAATTAGAACAAGACTTCTATTAATAAACTCTTCTAAATACTCATAAGCTTGATTTTCTAACCCTTTATTCTCCAAAGGCTCAATAAATCCCTCATCAATCCATAACCTAATAAGTAGTTCCACTTTGATTGCACTACGTTTTGGAAAAACTCCAAAATATAGAAAGCAAACTTTCAAATGTTGTGGCAATTGATGGTAAGTGAGGGTGAGTGCTCTGCTATCTAGAACTCCAATCAACTCTATTTCCTTTTCAACCTTCTTCCATTCTTGTTGTATGTTGTCACACTTAGATAGACGTTTTGCAACTACAAGAATTGAGTGTGGCAATCCTTCACATATCTCTACAACTTGGCTCCTAATTTTTATAAATTTAGATGCCATATGTGTAACGTTTTCCTTATGTATTATCATTATTATTATTATTAAGTTTATTATATAATAACAATAATATTTAAGTGGTGCAAATCAATAGGCTGACTAAGTATTAGAACTTAGTCAGCATTAGGTAATTAGTTACCTATATTGATGGGATGTAGGTTATTTAGACTCCCAAGTCCTCTCTCTGATCGGTTGACGTATCATACACCATCTAAAGTCACTGAGAGAAGTGAGAGAAACATAACTAAAACCTACGGAGATTTTACAGCAGCCCGAGGAACTTCTGCTCATCAGACCACGAGTCCCTGGTGATCAAGATCTAAAGCTATGGCTGGAGGTTGGTAATCTAAACTCTGTTTCAATAGCCACGTATCTATTAATTGTTACGTGGATTGTGTGCTTACATTTGGTATCCGAGCCAAGTTTATCTCTGCCTAGCCTTTGATTCAATTGCATAATACAATCATTTACATATGCTATACTTTCTTTGTATAATTTCGAATACATATGTAATGTGCAATTCTGTTGGGCTGCTGGAAATATTGTGTAATTTTTTTTTCCGCATTTAGTTAAAAAAAAAAAAAAAAATTCAGATTTGTTTTTCCCGTACTGCTCTGCGTTTTTTTTTTCTCCTTCGCCAATTTTTCCCGTTCGCCGGAAAGGGGAGTGCTCGCCGGATTCCGTTCGCCGGCGATGCACGCCCCTCCGGTGGCGCTGGCTGACTCCCGCCAAGGACGACGGTGGTGGCGGCACTGGGTTGCTCCCTTCAATGGCGCGGAGGTGGCCGGCGGCGGAGACACGGACATGGCGTGGCGGCGGTGGCGAGTGGTCTGGCGGTGGTGGTGGAGTCGGGTCCTCCCGGCTTCTCCGCCACTGCTTCTCCCTCGGCGTCGATTTGGTTCTCTGCATCCTCTGTTCGTGTCGCGCAGCGCAGATGAAGAAGATGATGAGATTTTGCTTTTTGGGCCGGGTCTGGCCCAATTCGGCCAGACCTAGGCTCCAAATTTTTTTTTTTTTTTTTTTTTGGCTTTGGGCTTGCCAGAAATTTGGGCCTAAAAATTTTTTTTTTTTGGGGCTTGCTGAATTTTTTTGGGGCCTGTTCTCTCTTCATCATATTTAGCTTCTTCTTATGGGTTTTATTCAAAAATTTTTTTTTCTAAAGTTGATATTAAATTATAATTACTTTGAACAAATTATTCTTTCTCAATTTGTTTGAATTTTAATTTAATATTGAATTTCAGTTTAAATTGTATTCAGTATTACAATTTAATTGTGGAGCATGAGTTATAATGTGCATAATCTGAGCATGTATTACTGTTTATTGCATTAATTTGATTGTTATAATTATGCATATGTTAGATAAGCATGTTCTTTAAGTATGAATCTAGTGCCTTTAAGTCTGAATTATATGCCTATTACGCATGTTATAGTGCCTTTAGGTGAATTTAGTGCCTTTTAAGGATAGATTAAGCATGTTAGTTTACTCATTCAGTTATTGCTCCGCTCGTGTCTTTCTAAAGCTATAAAGCACATAAAGTAAATCAAAATTCTAGTTTACCCAAATTTAAGGCCTTATCCACAGGTTTATAACCATATTATAGATCTTTCAAACAATTTTACTTCAAATATGAGAATACATGACTTAGGGAAGTTTCTTGGGGAGGTATACTAGTTCTATGGCCCTGGCTTAAAGGCCTTGTTGCTACTAGTCCCCTTGCAACGCTACTCTGTCTAAGGAGTTGGTATTTAACCGAGCTTCGTCTCGACCAACTTTCCTGGGAGTATACCTAAAGATTCTCTATCATGTTTTGGTTTAATCTGTTTGCTAGGCTTTAAATTACCATTTGCCAAGTGATTACAATTTTGTGATTAAAGAGTAGCCACAGCATCTTTAATTGCTTAAATTGTATTTAGATTCACTCACATAAAGAGTTGGCAATATCCTTGTAGTTAATTCTATATGATATGGCAAAATTTAGCCCACAGGCAATTTTGTTGTATTTGTAGGATTGATTAGGACGAAATGCCAGGCTATGATCATAATTTGCCCACAGGGATTATGTATCGGCATATAGTTTTGGTAGTTTTGTCATCAAGGGTGGAAACACCCAAACCGTACCCATTCTGGTTTTCACCATTCAGTTTGGTAAATTCATTATGCGTAAAAATTCAGCCCACAGGCAATTTTTATGGCATTTGAATTTATCTTTTTGCATAAGTTTGCATTGGCAAAATATGCACTTTAGTTCTTTTGTGCCTCGAAAATCAAAACTAACAAACTCATAATTTCCTTTCAGAAACTATCCCAATTGTCTCACACGTTCAGGTCCCAATGCTTACTCCTAATAATTATAGAGAGTGGAATGATGCGCTCCTGATCTACTTTGGCATGAATGAGATGGACTATGCTATTCACCATCCCGCGCCTCCGGCTATAACCGCGACGAGCACTCAAGAAGCCAAAGACATTTGGGCTAAATGGGAGCGGCACAATCGCCTGTGCATGTTTTTCATTAAGTCTCGGGTTTCGAGTGATATACGCCGCACGATTGATAAGCTTAAAACAGCTCAAGAGTGTATTGAGGCCATTGCCAAGAAGTTTGAAACTTCAGACAAATCCCTAGCAAGCACCTTAATAATGCAGTTCACCTCCCTTCGTTATTCTCCTGCCGATGGTGTGCGCAGTCACATCATGCAACTTAGTGATATTGCAGCTCAACTAGACAAGTTGGAGATCAAGCTGCCAGACTCATTTGTGGTGCATTTTGCACTAAACACTCTCCCTCCTGAGTATAGCACCTTCAAAATTGCATATAACACACATGACAAGAAATGGACCATTAATGATCTAATTAATAAGTGTGTGCAAGAAGAAGGGAGACTACGTCAGGAACAAAAGGGGGAGAATGTCATGCTTGCAGTAGCAAAGCATAAAGGGAGATCTGGCAAGCGCCACACTGCAGCTAAAGGGAAAGCAAAATTATCCCCTCAGACTGACATTAAGAAAGCACAGAAATGCTTCTTCTGTAAGAAGAAGGGGCACATGAAGAAGGACTGTGCAAAGTTTAAGAAGTGGATGTCTGAGAAAGGTATGATCTCTTCCTTTGTTTGTTTTGAATCCAATATGTCAGATGTTAATGCTAACACTTGGTGGTCCATTAAAGGGAAAGCAAAATTATCCCCTCAGACTGACATTAAGAAAGCACAGAAATGCTTCAAATGTTGTGGCAATTGATGGTAAGTGAGGGTGAGTGCTCTGCTATCTAGAACTCCAATCAACTCTATTTCCTTTTCAACCTTCTTCCATTCTTGTTGTATGTTGTCACACTTAGATAGACGTTTTGCAACTACAAGAATTGAGTGTGGCAATCCTTCACATATCTCTACAACTTGGCTCCTAATTTTTATAAATTTAGATGCCATATGTTGTTCCAAAATAGAGTTATTGCAAAATAAATCCCAACTTTCTTCTGGATTTAGCAAAGACATGTGATGGACATAGAAACTTGGGGGGCAATATTCCTCACCGAAATTCCTATTGCTATAAAAGTAATCCTCCCTTAAATGCGTAGTGGTTTGCACTACACGACTTCCATTATCATCTTCATCAGGAAGACATCCTCTTATATCATACCAAGCTTGAGTGTTGCATAAGTTATCCAAAACAATTAGAAACCTCTTACCTCTCAAGAAGTTGTATACCTGCCTAGTTGCTACATCATCATCATCAGGAATGTTTGCCTCCTTTGTTAGTGTCCAAAGAAGGTCGTGTAGCATTTGGCTTTTGTTGTACTCTCCAGACATAGTAACCCAACCTCGTACATCAAAGTAGGATGTAAGGATTGGATCATTATAGACACTCGTAGCTAAAGTTGTTTTTCCTATACCGGTCATATCAAGAATTGTGATTACTTTGAACTCAAATGCCCAGTCATCATCCTCGACAAGTTTATCCACTATCTGCATATGATCACGGCGACGACCCACCATTCTGCCTTCACTTTCGTTCTTCACTGCTTCTTTGCTTATCTCCAAATCTCTGGTTGCAGGGCCACCCCCAGATTTCTCTTGCACAGAAGCTTGCAAAGATGAAATCTTTTCAAACAAAGAATTGATTGATATGGATGCTTCATCATCAAGAGAAACCCTTGGATTGTTGGGTTGCAGAAACTCCAACTTCATAGTTGCACTGAGAGAAGTCAAAGCAACAGATGCCATCTCTCTCTCCCTCTCTTTCAAAGTATTCAGATCTGCTTAATTGTTTAGTTTTCTTAATGAATGAGTGGGTGTTTGCCACAGCCCTCCAAACATTGCATAAAAAGAAGATAAACATTGAGTGGGTCTTGTTAAAAAATTGTTTTAATTTATCTCTGATCTGGAAAACTTTGTCTCCACCAATGGGGCACATTGAAGTATTAATAAATCAATAATGCCAACAACTTTTAAATTAACAAATGCTCCGTTTATATATTCACTGTTCAGAGCACCAATATCAATGTCCACCACCTAGCTAGCTTGCATAATATTAATCACCATCGTACCGTCACTTCTGCATAATATTAAGATCATCAAAATATATTCTTCCCACCTGGTACATTAATACTGGATTTCGGCCTAACTCATCCCAAAAAAGCTTGTGATTTTTTCTCTTTCGGGTCTCCACATAAAATGTCTGGTCTCATATTTCTTTTATGTTATTCGTATCTAAAATGTGGGTTGACTCGAGTCAATTTGAAACCATCAACACCAAATAAAAGCTAATAGCATAGCATGGCTAAGAAATCTAGAATTTTTTTTTTTGGAGTCCTTCTACGGTTAGAATCAAGATTAAATTAAGAAAAATCATTATAATCGATAAATGGATTGGGTAAACCCACTTAGTCGAGGACTAAATTTGATATTAATAAAGAAGAATTACCAAACTATCAACTATCCTGTCATAGGACTCAATTAGGCAAAAAATCATCAAAGTCAAGGACCCAATAAGCATGAGAGCATGAGAGTCCCCTCACATGTGGGGACCGATTACTTTTTTGATGGGCTCCAAGTAACACATGAATTATATTCTCTTTTTATAGGGTTACGCAGATATTCAAACTTGTGACTTTTGGCATAGGATTGACTTTGATACTAAATTAAAGCATGTAATCCATCTCAACTAAAAGTCTAAACTTATAATTGGATTAGGCATTTATATTTATATATTATATGCTCAACAAAGAAGAATTCATTAGGGCAGTAACCTAAGACTAGCTGAATGGGGGACCAACGAAACTTTATATATGCAATTTCTTTAATATTACATATAGAATCCTAATCGCACCAATATATATATATATATATATATATATATATATATATATATATATAGTGAAAGGTTCCCGTGCGGGTGAATGCTTCCCGTGCGGTTGTGCGGTTGATTAATGTGCGTGAGATTTGTACTCAATGTGCGTGAGTGTTGTGTCTAATGTGTCTGAGATTTGTACTTAATGTGCGTGAATGTGTAAAATGCAGCAGAAAATATGGATATCAGCTTCTTCCCCATCCCCAGTAGCCATTGCTCCCTCCCTGATGATGATGATGCAGAGGCGAGCTATGGTGATTAAGAATTATGAGAATAATACAACAGAAATCCACGTTTAGCTAGTGTGCAAATTTTGTTGTGCGTGCGTCATATATATAAACATTCAACTGTACTGAAAGTAGCTGATAATCCAGAATCCATGGACAAATTGAAGGAAGAACTAACAAGAAGTTTGGGCGTTAATGTGCGTGAGTTTTCTGTTCTGCTTCTTTCTGAGATCGCAATTCTGAACTACTCACGCACATTAAGCACAAATCTCACGCATATTAAGCACAATACTCAGGCACATTAAGTACAAAACTCACGCATATTAACATGACGCACATTAAGTACAAATCTCAGGCACATTAAGCACAACACTCACGCACATTAAGTATAAACCTCACGCACATTAATCCACCGCACAACCGCACGAGAAGCAACAAATGCACCTGATCCCTTCCCTATATATATATATATATATATATATATATATATATATATATATATATATATGATATTATAGTTTTTAGTGTGATATGGGATACGTGATGGTGAAAGAGTGTAAACGAAGGTTGTGAAACCCCCGAGTGTCGAACTCAAGGATGACTATTCGGAGCAGGTAAAGTGCAAGACAACCGTTGTCACAATGTCTCAACAAGAGTAAACTAGGTGCAAGATAGGAGAGTATGGTAGGTTGTTTGTGCAATCATGGGAAATTAAGAAAATAATCTAACCAAAGTAAGTAAGGCTAAAAAGGTAAAACGGGGATTTGGACGGGATTGGATTGCTTAGTGTGGATTATGACGCACTCAAATCATTTGACGATCTAGGAAAAGAATGATGCATATACCAAGTCTAGGGAATGGTTTGTGTCCTTTCATAACATAGACTACTAGGACTTGTTTAGGACTTTCTTAAACCTTTCCTTAAATACTTTGCCTACATTACCTTCCCAACCAAGTCCCGTAGGATTCCTTGAGCTAAGAAATGTTAAGGATAGAAGCTTGAATTGACCTAGCAAAGGTCATTCACTCAACACAGTCCTAGGAGTTGGCCTAGCTCCTTGGATGCATACAAATCAATCCATAACAACAAGCCATAGAAGCATAGCAATCTCATCATTCATTCATTAAATTAATTCAAAGCATAATTGGTGCGAATAGGATTCTATTATGTACATATAGAATTTTAGCAAGACATAATCATCAATAGATCACAAAACACACATTAGATACGAAATACAAACAAGGAGAAGAAATGTCACCCAAGTCTTCAATCTCTAGTGTTGTAATCCTTGAAGCAATGTAGGTCAGGGAGTCTAGCTTCAAGCTAGAACAATGGAAATCTATGCTAAAGGATGAAATGAAAATCTAATCTAACCCTAATCTAAGAACTCTAAAATATGATTTCTAAAGTGGGAAAGTGATATATGATCAAGTAGTCCCGCAACTAGGCCTTTAAATAGGCAAAATATGAAATTTCCGCGAAAGTGACCGTCCAACGCACGTCACAACGCACGTTGTAGAATGCGTTGTACTTTTGGCCTTGATGCCTGCTCCGCCGTTTAGTTCCTATTCTCATTGGTCTCTCCCATAAATTTTTTATTTGATTTCTTTATAGCTTGTTTTATACTTTGCACTTTTGTTGTTTGTCGCAATTGTTCTTTACCTCACAATTATATCTAACTTGAGTTATATTTACAATATTCAGTATTTTTCATAGTTTCATGTTTCTATAAAAACAGTCATTCTAATTTTGATTTTCAGTGCACTAGAATTATTTTATAGTACTAGAATGTATTCGAGTGCACTGGAAAATAATATTCCAGTGCACTAGCAATGACAGATTGTGTCCAAAAATTAACTATATAGTACTTGACACTTGTTCTTCTAATATCAACTATACAAATAGATGATTATTCATCTTGTCAATAAAAATATTCTAAGTGAACCAACTAAGAGTCGGTTGTGCAAAAAAGTTAACTAATTATATTAGTACTTAATATTGTATTTGAACTTTGGATTACTATTTTGTTATATAATGTTTAGAGTTTGAATTTGAATTATGTGATTATGTGAATATGCATTGTTTGGTAGTATGTTTGAAAAATTAGGAAATGTTTAAATTTGGGGATCTTAAACCGAACTGAATTAAATCCGAACCGAAATCGAGCTGTTTCAAACCGAACCAAACTCTAATGTTAAACCGAATGATTTACTTTTAAAAAAAAAAAAAAACTGAAAAACCGAAACCGAAACCGAAAAAAACCGAGCCGAACACCGAAACGCCCACCCCTAGATACTACATTGTGACAGGGTCAATAGTACTCAAAAAAGAAATCTAGAAGGGAAAATTGCAGGTTTTTAGTCAATCAATTATGTCTAAATTGTAGATTCGGTCCATAAATTATTGCTCTATACAATTTTTTTTTTCTTTTAATTATGTTGAAAGTAGCTCTTTTACTCCATTATTTATAAACATTAAAAATTTATTTTCATAGGCATGAAATATAGTATGAAATTTTGGTTCATTAATTCCATTCTTCACTTTAAATCAATCAAATTTAATACAAATTAAATTATTGAAATAACTTTGGGAGAAGTGTCTAATAGACCCATCTACTATTGCCAAGTGCTCAATTCCCACACCACGAACTAAATTAAAGGCTAATTAACCACACTTACCTGTTAAATTTATTCAATTGGTTTTTTTTTTTTTTTTTTTTTTGTGCAGATTGCTTACAGGTTACCAATCTAATTATTAAAAAATTAAAAAATAATTTAAATTAAAAAAAATGAAATTTCAGCCACCCCCCGCTGTCCGGTGTCGGACAGCCGGTGGTGGCTGAAATTCCGTTTTTTATTTAGCAACCTGCAAGAAAAAGTCAATTGAACAAATTTAGCAGGTAAGTGAGGTTAATTAGCCTTTTATTTAGTTCGTGGTGGGAATTGAGCACTTGACAATAGTAGATGGGCCTATTTGACACTTCTCCCAATAACTTTTTTACATATAGAATTAATTTTGAAAATTAAATGTTTGAAATAATTTTTTTACATATAGAATTAGTTTCATCATACTTATATAACAGAATTACAAGACTCTTGAAAAATAATCGAAATATTTTCATATGTAAAAACTGCATGCAATATCCACAAAAAACCATAGAATTACAACTTAAAAGTATAGTTCTCCAACCCAACAACTTGAGAAAATTGATTTACGCAATTTTCTAAACAAGCTAAGCTAGGAGAATCGCTTCTCGTATGTGTGCAGCATGTTCCAAATTTGAATTAGTTTTATACTCTTGTCTCTTCCGATCCTTGTATTTGGTGATTCAACTTGAGATATTTTTCCCAAATATCCTCTAAAATGCAGAACATGTATAAAGAGAGAAAATAAAATTATATTGGATCAAATACATAACATAAAATTCAATATTTCAATTGATAATCAAAGACTATAATTAATATAATAATGTTCTTCATACAAAATTTGTTTAAATAGAAGATTACGTGCATACATAAAATAGCTAGGCCAGGGGATTGTACTACAAAGTAATAAAAACATATATGCAATGAGAAAGGACAGATATAATTGGCAATTCAACCAAATTTTGTGATTCAATTCTAGCTAGCATCCATACCTTAGCTTAGCTTGTCATTCATCATCTGAAGGTATAGATTCTTCTCCAATGATTTTGATCTATATGAAAAAGAGAATGCAAAATGAAGAAAGTGAAATGAGATGAGATCAGAGGGAGAGAAAATTGCATTAGATTTGGTAAAGAAAATTATCATGAATAGAAAAATAAATGCATATATAACTAATATAAGAATGAAATGATAACAGAATTGAAGGAAAGAGAAATAGCAGCAGAAAGATGAGATGATTTTGTAAGCATTGAATAGAAAAATAAATGGAAATGTGAGAATAAATCTGTTGTACTGTACTAGCTTAGGTAGCTTCTAACCTCAAAAAATACGGTTCCATAGTCATGGCGTTGATATTCTTGAATACGCTTTGCAGAAGTGATAACGGACGGACAACACCGCTGCAACTCAATTGACTTCAACATCGAAATATCTTTCATATCTTCAGGGATTTTTTCCAAACAATAACAAGATCTTAAGACTAAGTGCTCAAGACATGAGAAGGATTCAAAACCGGCGACCATCCATTGCTCGAGCATTTTATTTTCAAGAAGTAAGAATTCTAATCGAGAAAATCCTTGTACTATCCATACTTTTCCATGAAAGGCATTTTCCAATTTGAGAACCTTAAACTGAGGCAACATTTCAATTGCCTTTAAATCGCTCCCTGAAAGGTTAGTACCGTTCAACCTCAACTTCTTTAGTTGTGAAGGAAACATAGATGGCTTTGGAAGGGTTACAACGCAACCAAATGCAACTGAGATTGATAGTCTCTCAAGACATTCCAAATATTCAAGATTATCCAAAACAATAGGATTATTGCTGCTAAATACAGAAACTTTAAATTTTTCAATGTTTGGAAACTTGCAATATACTCCTGCTCTACAATGAGGTGAACACACCCAAGATAATGTCCGCATATTATCTTTAACCATGCTTGGAGGGTCAATCACATAAGATTTGTCAAGCTTAAGATGTCGTAACTGCGGTAACTCCCAAATTGTGCAAGGCAAGTGGAGAGTAGGTGCTCCAAATTGGGATTCTTTACGAGAAACAACAAGTGTCTGCAAGTTTTGATTGGTTGACACTACATAATCAAGACCCTCAAACCATTCTGTAACAGATAGGTATCTCAAAAAACCTAAATCCTGTACGCGTGATGGCACTCTTTGAAGAAATGAAGATGGAACAAAAGCCAAAACTCTTAGCAACTTGAAAGATACATATATTTCATCAGCATTATCTTCTTGAAAGAAGAAAATGGAGCGAGGCTTGTTTGTTCTTAACAACACATAATAGTCAAATTTATGTGTGTATAAGCTTAACCAACGGCATGAATTTGCAAACATGCCAAATGACCCTCGTGGAAGTTGCAGAGTATTTAAAGCACAAAAAATGCCCTCTTTCTGAACTTCTCTTACACAAAAGCTATGCAAGGCACTATGCATCCTACAATTCTTAATTTTTCCAGAAACACTCCAATTGTCAATTAGAATAAGACTTCTATCAATGAACTCTCGTAAATACTCATAAGCTTGACTTTCTAACTCCTTGCCCTCCAATGGATTAATAAATCCTTCAGCAATCCATAACCTAATAAGTAGTTTCACTTTGATTGCACTGCGTTTTGGGAAGACTCCAAAATATAGAAAACAAACTTTTAAGTGTTGTGGAAATTGATTGTAAGTGTGGGTCAGTGCCCACCTATTTAGAACTCCAAGCAACTCTATTTCCTTTTGAACTTTCTTCCATTCTTGTCTTATGTTGTCACACTTAGATAGACGTTTTGCAACTACAACAATTGAGTATGGCAATCCTTCGCATATCTCTACAACTTCGCTCCTAATTTCTTGAAATTTAGGTGGTTCCATATGTTTTTTCAGTTTCAAACAAGGGTTATTACAAAATAAAGCCCAACTTTCTTCTGGATTTAGAAAAGTCATGTCATGAACATAGCCATCCTTGTAATCATAACTATCCCTCCTGAAATGCGTAGTGGTTATCACTATGCGACTTCCATTTCTATCATTAGGTAAACAATGCCGGATATCATACCAACCTTCATTGTTCCGTAAGTTATCCAAAACAATTAGATATCTCTTACCTTCCAAGCATTTGTATACCTGCTCAGCTGCTAGATCATCAGGAATGATTCCCTTTTTAATTTCATCATCAGCCTCTGCTAGTAGTGTCCAAAGAAGGGTGTGTAGTATTTGGCTCACGCTATTGTATCCCCCAGGCATAGAAACCCATCTTCGTACATCGAAATGCGCTGCAACTAATGGATCTTTATAGACACTACTAATTAAAGTTGTTTTTCCAATGCCGGGCATTCCAACAATTGAGACCACCTTTAGTTTACCAGAGGACCAGATGAGTTCCTTCCTTATCAGCTCATGATCACGGCGACGACCGACCATAGCATTGCTGGGCTCCGAAGCCGAAGCATGTTTTAACCAAGGAATTATCAGTGCTCCTTCACTTTCATTCACCACTTCAGTTTCCTTGCTTTCTTCCAGCAACTCCGCTGCTTTTTCTGCTGCTTCTCCCAAGGTTTGATGGAGCTGCTGATAAGCTTTTTGTTGATCCTCTCCGTTTTTGGTTGGAAGGGAGGGGTTAGACCACAAAAGAGAGGAACAAAGGCCTAGCAGCCATGATCCGATGGAGGAACTGAGAAGCTGCTGCTTATTCTTGACTCTCAGCTCTTTGTTGTTGGCCAGAAGAAAGTTGCTTAGTTGTATTTCTATGCGGTCTTCCACATCTAGTGCAAAGTCTCTGATCTTCATTTCCAAATCTCTACTGATTCCAACGCCACTCTTGGGTTTCTCCTGCAGAAAAGCTTGCAAAGATGAAAGCTTTTCATACAAAGCTAAAGATTCCATTGATATAAACCCTGGCCCTTCATCATCAAGAGGAACCCTGCTTGGATTTGGTTGCAGAAACTCAAGCGTAATTGTTGCCATCAGAGAAGTCAAAGCAACACAAGCCATCTCGATAGATCTCTCTTTCAATTCTAAGTATTCAGATAACAAGTTTTTGTCTCTCTCTCTTTCAAATTATTCAGATCTGTTTGTTTAGTTTTCTTCTCTCTTTCTTCCCAGTGAATGAGTGGGTGTGGGCACAACCCTCCAAACATTCACTAATGGAAATTATGGAATTTCCGACCACCTGAAAGTGATCTTAAATCAAGTTAATACCAAAAAGTGGTTGGAAATAGCAACAAAGATTTTTCCGGATACTAAAAGTGGTCGGAACAAGACTTTCGATTTGATTTAAGATCACTTTTTTAGGTGGTCACAAATTTCATAATTTTCAGTAGTGATTGCATAAAGAGGAGATGAAGGTGGTCTGATGTGCTTGTTATAAAATTATTTTAATTTCTCTCTCATCAGTTTCCACCAATGGTGCACATTGGAGTATTAATAAATCTATCAATAATGCCAACAACTTTTAAATTAACAAATGCTCCGTTTATATATTCACTGTCCAGAGCACCAATATCAATGTCCACCACCTAGCTAGCTTGCATAATATTAATCACCATCGTACCGTCACTTCTGCATAATATTAAGATCATCAAAATATATTCTTCCCACCTGATAAGGTTATAGTAGGGTCAAAGAATGAAATGGAAAACATTTACAAATTGATGACAAATTAAAAATGCCAAACTTTTGAAAAGTGAATATCCTTAAGAAAAGCTCATTTGGGACATGTGTTAACATAAACGCATGTTCCAAATGCATTTGTCCCAAAAAAGAAAAAAAAAAATCTTAAACATAACAAAAGATGCAAGTAGTACTTGCGTCGTAGGTATTATACTGAAATATGGGACAACGAAGTTGTGGAAATATAATGGTTTGAAGTCTTGGCTTAAACAAATGGATCTCTTGGCTGGCCAGCAACAAATATCAACTATAAATACCACCAATCTTACCATTTCAAACTCACACTTAACCCCATCACTACAAAATGTTGAAAGAATCAAATCTGAGAAAATGTATGCACAATTTGTTGTATATATTTTAACCTATTATGAAGAAAAACAAGAAAAGCCGTAAGTCTATGTTGACAGTATTTTTTTAAAAAACATTTAGAGCGTGTTTACTTTTGGAGCTATGTAACAAAATTTTCCTTTTGATTTGCAGCTATAAATTTTGGAGAAGAACAACCTATGATTGAACTTCAATTAATACTCGCAGTGAAACACCTACGAATTTCAATAATTCAATTAAAACTCGCGACATTTTTTTTTTTATTAAAAAATAAAAATATGTTGCGAAAATTATAAAAAGTATAATATTTATAGTTAGAAGTTGAGGGAAATGGCCAAGTATAAATTTGTATATATACAAACTGGCCACTTTCCTCCTTTCAAAATAAAAAAAAATAATAAAGGGGCGTAGTCACAACTGAACCCCATCCAATTCACAGTTTCCACTTAATATTCCTTTTTAAAAAAATTGGGCTTTAATATTATTTTTAATTTCTTGATAGTCACAACTGAACCCTATTAGAAATTTTGTTGTAAATATTATTTTGTAATGTTATTTTTAATTTCGTTTTAATATGTATGCATAGAACAAAAAATGTAATATGTAGTATAGAAGAGAAGAAATTGTAAATGTAATAATTGTAATATTTACATCGAAATTGAATTGATATATTTTCATGTATCAGTTGTTTTGATATATTGACCTGGACCGTTACACGGACAGAGAACCGGGTGGACCTGGACCGTTACACGGACAGAGAAAGACCTTGACCACAATGTGTGGTTGTGTATATATCAGTTGTTATTACTAAAGGCATCCTTAATAGTGGAGATTTTGGTGGGGATTTTAAGAAGTTTTTTGTATGTGTGATTAGGAAAGAGAAGATAATAAAAAAGAGAAAAAAAATGCAAATGTTGATTTCCAAAAAAAATTAAATAAAAAAGATTAAGCACGGCCATTAATGCGCCCAGGGGCGCGTGCACTGCACGCGAGCAGCGCGCGAGTTACAAGCAAAAGTATGGGGCCCAGCATTTCTGATAAAATTCCCTCCTTACAGGAGTATCTCTACCCCTTTCTCTCTCCTACTTCTCTCCTACACGGCTACACCTCACCAAAGATTTCTCAAAATCTGCGCAAAATCCCCCTATTGGTGATGCCCTAATTATATATTTATTTTGTGATTAAATAATGAATTTGGACAAATGTTGAACTGCAATATTTAAATACAAGTACAGTCACATCTAACTGATGTGATTGTACATGTCGACTGACGAGACTGTCAGTTTGACTGAGGATCACGCCAGTATGATTGACGTGACCGCCAACTGACTGATGGTCACATTAGTCGAAAGCTTGCAAAATGGCCTTTAAAATATGAGTGTATATATTATGTTATTTTAACCAATAATAAAATAATAATAATAATAATAATAATTATTATTATTATTATATAAAAAATAAACATTTGTTCATAGGTTCAAGAAACCCGTGAACGCTAATCAGTAATCACATGTCTCGTTGCTAATTACCTTCATGGTATTAGGCAATGAGTTTATGAGCTCTGTCGACGGGTTCAAGCACCTCGTTGCCTAATTCTATGAAGAGACAATAAGAGTAATGAGACTGACAGATAGGACTGCTAAACTCGTCTACACAATCTCGTTGTTTAAAAAAAAAATAATATTGGCAATGCTTTGGAGAAAATAATTAATTTTTAACTTTTTGGTGCAATAAGTGGTTATAAAGAAACATATTAACTAAACACAACTGTTTGACCAAATAATCAAAATTGGCAGATAAGTTATGTTATCAAACATGGTCAAAATGAATTCAATAATAGCTACAAGTGTAACTCAAAAGCACGTACTCCGCGATGCAAACTTACAAACTGAATTCAATAATAGCTACAAGTGTAACTCAAAAGCACGTACTCCGCGATGCAAACTTACAAACTGCATCAATTAATCCATCATTTAGTTATAATTATACACATCACTAGGTGCACATATTTTTTAGTACACTTCTACATATTAGTGAAATGCATCGGTAATTGTGAGCAATCTTTATTTTGAAGTGTGGATATGCAAACCTGATGTTGATGGATAATGCTACATTGAATTAAGGGAAAATGACACTTTTTCTCCCTGAGTTATATGCCTATAACATTTTTCTCCTCTAAATTATTGAAATGACTGTTTTTTCCCCCTGAAATATTAAATGGACATATTTACCCTTAAACTAAATATTTAATTTATTTTTTTTTCTCCAACAAATTATGACGATAATTTGGTTCAAACCAAACAAACACTATAGCAACCAAACCGAAATATTCCAATTACAATTTAGAATCGAAATTCGATATTTATAGTTTAGTAAAATCGTGAACCGGAACGGACGGTTCATGTTCCGAACTGAAAAAATAAAATACATTTATTGTTGAATTTAGACTATTTTAAAATAAAAAATAAAATTTTAAAATAAAGACGGTTCAAAATCGCGAATCGGATCCGGAATCGCCGGTTCACGGTTCAAGATTCAATTTTTTTGATACATAATTTTAATAAATTGACATTTAAATATTGGGTTCTAGATCTGAATTATAACCAGGAAACTATTAATTCGATTGCTTTAGTATCCGGTTCAATTCAAACTGAACTGTGGTCATCCCTACGTATACGCAATAATTTGTTGGAGTAGTAAAATAAATAAAATGTTTACTTTAAGGGTATAAATGTCAATTTAATATATCAGGGGGAAAAAACACCACTTTTAGAATAATTGAGGGGGTTAATGTGCTTACCTAAATAATTGAGGGGGAAAAAGTGCTATAAGTATATAACTCAGGGGTAAAAAGTGCCATTTTCCCTTGAATTAAACTTTTTTATACTAAATTTTATATTAACATTCATGTATGTTACCATACATTTAAAAAGATTGTGATTAATTTGTAAATAATCGACACTTATCATTAAAAATATTATTTAATTAAAGAAGATAAAAAATGCAAGAGGGTGGAACAACAATCATTATTGTGTGTACCATGGTCCACACAAATTGTGTTAACAATATTTCGTATACTGTAAAATAATGTACATTCAGTAAAAAAATAATGTACATTATATTCAGGGGATGTACATTATTTTTGCACTGAGTATACATTATATTGTATAATGTACATTCAGTACAAAAATAATGTACATTTAATATATTAAAAATATATTTTTTGTTATGATCCACATAATACTATGTGGACCATGATCCACACAATAATTTGCCGTAGAACAAGACTCTAATCTCCCTCTGGATCAGACTGGGAACTCACAACCTTCACAAGAACATGAGGTATAAAATTCCTCGATCACAAAACATGTTTGACAACCACATTCCCAATAGTAGTAATGATACCTAGAATGATACAAACATAAGAAATTAAAGATGGGAGGTTGCTGTATGAATAGGAGCGTTATGCTGTGCATCCGTATGCAGCATGCATGGTGCATACGGATGCAAAAACGATGTCGTTTTGGTGCCTAACTTAAAAATAAATAAATTCAAAATTGCATAACTACACATCCATAATTTCACTACACATCCATAATTTCATAACTATACTTCCAGAATTGCATAACTACACTTCCAGAATTGCATAACTACACATCCAGAATTGCATAACTACACTTTCAGAATTGCATAACTATAATTCCAGAATTACATAACTACACATCCATAACTTCATAACTACACATTCAGAATTGCATAACTACACTTCCAGAATTGCATAACTACACTTCCAGAATTGCATAACTACACTTCCAGAATTTCATAACTAAAAAATCCAAAATGAATGAACTAAAAATGAATAACATAATGTTGTTGCTGTGAATCGAAACTGATTTTTTTTTTTTTTTTAAAGTTGGGCGCGCGTTTTATGCAAAACGATATTGTTTTTGCATCCGTATGCACCATGTAGGGTGCATACGGATGCACAACATAATTTCCCGTATGAATATTATGACAAAGATTTAAACAGAATGTTTAATTTAATTTGGACCATACTAAAGAAAAAGTCATTAAGACTAGCTCAATGGGGGACCACAACTTATGAAGAAAAGGATTGAAAGTGTTCCATATAGAATCCTATGTAAGAATTTACGCAAATTATACTGTGGACTTGTGTCCATAATGCATTGTGGACACGAGTCCAAAACGATGTCATTTAAAAGGAATGTTAGGAACAAGTGTATATAGATTTTGATGATACCAAACTGTCTTAGGATGTATATCCCTATTTTTTGTTTAATAGAAAATCTCGTATGACATAGGCATGAAATGTTAAATCATGCACGAGACTAGTAGAATAGGTTAACAAGAAGACACGAAGATGATCGAAAGTTGCTTGCAAACGAAAGGAAGACTAAAGCAAGTCTCGGACGGACTGTTTCGACAAAAGGGACTTTCGTTCAAGAGGAAATGACGAAAGATGAGGAAAATCTTTCGGTCCCAAATATACAAGTCAAGGATAGACTTGTTAAAAGACAACTCTCATTAATAGAAACAATGAGAATGTTGTCTATCATTCAGTTGGGCAAATTATTCGGACAAAAGGTGTCATAGGAATGATCTTCACTAAATACAAGGAGCATTAAAAGACTTGTACTATCTTGTCAGTGAACAAGGACAAAAGCTATAATGCTTTTTGCTCCAACGGCTACACAGTACAAATGTATTTAATGCCCATTGCCCACTGAGTAATACACACTGGTTTTTAGGTTTGAAATTTTCATTCCCTCCAACGGATGTATTTTTCCACCTATAAATACCTCTCTTCACCATTGAAGAAGGTGCTGGTTAACTCACTCTCTCTATCTAAGAAAAGCATTTCAAAGCAGTTCCATCTTCTTAAGCTTTTCATAACCAGTGTGTGTTGTGTTGTTTTTCAAAGGCATATCTATCCTCATACTTCACAACCTGAAGCTTTCTTGTTTTTTTTTTTTTTTTTTTTTTTTTTTTTTTTTTTTTTTTTTCACAAGTGAAGATCTACTCAGACATCAAGACAAGCCTCAACCCGTTGGAGAAACACCAAATCTCTTTTCCAACATCTCAACTCAGGAAGTAGTTGATAGAGGCGGAGTAAACTCTAGGGGTTGAAAAACCTGTCAAGTGGCTGTCCGGCTTAGTGATCAAGGAAGCCAGCTTGAAGTAGTTTGTACTTGGATCTACCAAGAAATGGCCTATAGTCGATCAAGCCCAATGGATCTCGGACAAGAATAAAGAAGAAGCTAAAAGGAAAATAACCGAGATGTGATATGAACTAAGAGATTTCACTGGAAACATGGGCATGAATCTTGGAGAAGAAAGAAGCTTCGAAGAATGTATTGTATGGTGGGAAGCTGGAGTTCTTCCGGGCACCAATATTAAGGAAACTTTTGGTTATTACATGACTGGGCAAGTTACAAAGAGATTTCAGAATGCGAAGTTCAAGGATGATTTCTTCAAGCTCAGAGAACATGTCAAGGAAATTTTGAAGAAAGACATGGGTGTCAAGAAACCCAGAAGGTAATCTGGATATTCTCTTAAGCTGATGTTTTTGCTATTTTCAAACCTCTGTTGCGTTTTTCTCTAAATATTCGAAATATCTCAATAATAATTTCCCATGGTCTATTTTGAGTTTAGTATTTTATTTGTCTTTTGTAATTAGACCACCGTGAATTAAAAAGACAAGGAATTTTAAAACGCACATCAAAATTAAAAATTGATCAAGAAAAATAATTCAAGATGCGTTTAGGAGCTTGTCTAAAAATTAATTCACAAGTTGCTTTTGATTGTGTCTAGAAAACCTTTTGTTAAACTCATCTTGGCTTTGTCAAATAAATTGAGCAAAATGATTATTTTTCAAAGACTTAAAGCCAATGACTGAGTATAGGTTTTGGCATTATCAAAAGTGAGGAAATTGTTAGGAATAAAGTGTAATGGTTTTGATATGCCAAATATGTATTTGTAGAACCCCCAATTTTATTCATATAGGTCTAGTAGAGTCTTAGACCATGATCGGAAAATTATTTAAGTTGCAAAAGAGAAAAATAGAGGAAGATGCATGAAAATAGAAGAAGAAGATATAAAGCCTAAAATCAAGAATTTGTCTGGTGAAAATGACAAATTGAAGAAGAAGATGAATGATATGATTTTCACGTCGCTATTACTCAGAAAGAATTTCCAAAAGAATTTTCGTGAAAGAAAATTAAGATTTGAAGTTTGCATGAATTTGACTTGGAGATCAAGCATCTATGGAAAGAAAGGAGTATATCAAAGATGATTGGAGATGTAACCAATAGACCGTACGGACAAGTTGGAAGATGCTTGATGTATTATATGAAATGACTTAAGTTTGAATCTCACTATTTACAATTTTACAAGGTAAAATTTGAAGAAGCCAAAATTAATTAAGCCTGATGGAGTTGGGCGTTGGCAAGTGGGAATTGGGAAGCAATTGTACTTTGATGGAGTTGGGAATTGGGAAGCAATTGCACTTGGGAGCCTTGAAATTTGCACTTGGGACTTCGAATTGGGAGCCGATTTCAGATCAATGCAAAATTGAAATTGGGAGTCAATTCAAGTTGTAGTATGTGATGCAATTTCTAATTGGGGACCAATGCAATTTCTTCAAATTGAAATTGAAGCACGGACGTTGGGAAGCAAATTGAATTGAGATGAAATTCAAAACCAGGAGAAGTCTGGAAGCCAATTTCGAAGTCAAGGTCAAAGTAATTGAGATGAAATTCAAAACCAAGAGGAGTCTGGAAGCCAATTTCGAAGTCATCAAATTGGGAAGCAATTGAAGCACCAGGAGAAGTTTGGGTGCCAATTACAATGGAGAAATTCAAATTGGGTGCCAATTACAAGTCAATTGCAATTGGGTGTCAATTATAAAGGAGAAATTCAAATTGGGAGGAAGTTCAAAGCCAGTTTGAAACATGAGAACACCCAGACGTGAGAATGAAGAAGATGAAGAAAACATAGAGTGAAGAAATTCTCAGAAAGAAAAAATACTAGTCTAACTAGTATAAGATTAAATTGAAGAATATTTTTGAAGCATTTAAATCCCAAAGAAACAAGAACCACTACAGAGCTGATCAGAGAAGCCGTTCTACATAAAACTGAGACCCAGATATTCCCAAGAAACGTGAGAACACCAGAGGAATATCATATGAAGTTTGGGAACTCATTTGCATGAAGTTGAATCTCTACAAACGGCTAGATTATCTTTTCTGACACTTTGCCAGAAGATAAGATAAGATCTCTGACAAAAGATACAAGAATTCAAAAATGAGATCGTCTCTTTCCAACGGGCAGATTCTCATTATCAGCTATATAAGGATGAAGATTTGAAGACTTGAAGATAGAGCTTGATAGAGCACAAGAGAGCAAGAATACATAGAGCAAAAGTTTCAATTGGTACAGAGCATACTAAAAAGAAATCTTCAAGTGAGAAAAGAAAAAGAACTTAGGAGCTTAAAGAGAAATATTCAGAGAGTTCTAAAAGCAGAGCTAAACAGAGTATAAAAATCAAGTGCTATATTTGATACATTCAAAGAGAGAAAAACACTCAGAGATACAGAGCTTTCACGAGAAATCACTCAAGAGTGTTAAATCTTCATCAACAAGAGACCTGCATCATTTTGAAGATCATTTACAAAGTCTCAGAAGTTGGAAGCAAGAAGAAAACTTATCTTTGAACAAGTGATATTCCTACGGGAGTGTAGGAAGGGAGGAAAGTAGCACGGAGCTGTGAAATCCTGGATTGTCACACGGAGCTGTGAGATCCGAAGCAGCAGTGTTAGAGGCACTGGGCGTGATTAGTGCGGGCTTTGTGATCAAAGCACTAGATCACGGAAGAGCGTTTCTACCGGAGCGTAGAAGACGGGGGGGGGGGGTGGGGAGTAACGCGGAGTCGTGAAATCCTGGGAAAGAAGCGCGGCGACGTGAAACCCGAAGCAGCAGTGTGGTGTCACTGGGCGTGATTAGTGCGGGCTTGGTGATCAAAGCACTAGATCAAGGAATTCATTGTATCTTGGAACCAAGAAGTGGTGGATATAGTGAATTGCTCTTGGAGATAAAAGCAAGTGGAGTAGGAGGATTACACCACCTCCGAACCACTATAATTGTCTTGTGTTCTTTACTGCCTTCTTTACTTATTGCTCTTTACTTGCTTCACACGAGATATACTTGACACAATCTCACACACACTTATCTTTATTTATTTCTGCTGCATACCATACTCTAATAATCTAGTTAAGAGTTTTGGTTTCTCTGTGCCTTAGCAATTGTTGTGCTGTGCGAAAAAGCTTGAAAGTCTATTCACCCCCCCCCCCCCTCTAGACTTTCACCTTACCTCTTTCGGGACCAACAAGCCTCTTTCGGTGAACTTGTGCTAGCATTCTGGTCCTGATATTTGCGGACTATTGGATGAGGATAATTCGCCTTGAAGTTTTTTGGCTTTCGACAATTATAGCATAGCATTTGTGCATCCATCGTCTCTAGTTTTGATGATTGAGGAGATCTTTCGTAATGTCTTTGGTTTGAGGAGTTTGGTGATCTTTGATGATCTTGAAAGTTGTTCTTCCTCATGAACCTTTTCATCTTTCGTACAAACAAAGCAAACTGTTCATTAGATAAGAATTCACTAGGATTAGAGTTTGACCTGTTTGATGTTGACTGTTGTTGACTTGCAACCAAGGTGACATTTCTCATTTCAGGTTCCTCAACCTCTCTGGGCTCATGCTCGAATTCGTAGGCTTTAAGATCACTAAATATTTTACTCGTGTTGGTTGTCTTCATGTCTCTGTGATCTCTCATGGCTGTCACTTTTATCTCCCATGACTTTGGAAGCCCTTGGAGAATCTTTAGATTATTCTCTTTTTCAGTCAGCTCCTTTATGAGATTTGAAAGGTCACTCATAAGTTTCGTGAACCTGAGCTCCATGTCAGTGATGGCTTCGTTTGGCATCATTTTGAAGTCTTCAAACTTTTTCATGGCAACAGTGAACTTGTTGTCCTTTTCTTGTTCATCTCCTTCTCCTAAACTCATGAGAGTATCCCAGATTTTCTGTGCCGTAGTGCATTTCCGCACTCTTGGAAATAACGAATCATCTAGTGACTTGTAGAGAATATCTCGTGCAACGTTGTCGAGATTTGCTCTTGTCTTCTCGTCTGAAGTAAGTTGAGACTTTGGTTTAGGAATCAAAACTTCTAGATCTGCTCCTTGAGCAGCCGCTTGTGTATTCACCATCATCACGGTGATAGGACCTTCTCTTATAACGTCCCACATTTCATCATGAATAGCCGAGAGATGAGCCTGCATCCTGACTTTCCAATCATCAAATTTAGAGAGATTAAAGGCAAGAGGCCTAGAACGGTTAGCATGATCTCTTTCCAATTTTTTAAGAAAATACGTGCAAAGACGAAAAAGCAGTTTAACCTATATAGATTTTGCAAAATGGATCTACCAGGCAGTAAAGCAAAACGTTTACCGTACAAGGTAAGCGCTTTGATACCACTTGTTGGTCCTGGTAGGGTCGAAAGATAGTCTAGGGGGGGGGGGGGTGAACAGACTCTAATCGATTTTTCAAAGTAGCTCCTTTTGGAGCGATGCACAGCGGAATTAAAGATTCGTTTAGATATACTTTGCACACTTTCATTAGGAGATTTTAGCGTTTGGTCGATATGATATGCTATGCACGAAAGCAATAAAGCAGTAAGTAAAGAGATATGGAGAGAGAGATTTATAGTGGTTCAGCTGTTAACGAAGCTTACTCCACTCTTCTTTCACAACTCATGAAAGGGTTTGCACTATCACTTCTAGTACAAACTACTTCAAGCTGGCTTCCTTGATCACTAAGCTGGACAACCACTTGAT